AAAAAAAAAAAAAAAAAATTCTGTAGTGATTTCCTCAGTTCTACAATGCATAATTAGAACAGACTTTCTCAGCAACCAGCAGAACTCACATACTGGATCCCTAATGTGTTAAGTAAGGTCTATTATGGTATGAAAAACAAAGTAGAAGCCATTAGAACTGCCCCTATCTAGAAAAACAATAAACTAAAAGAGATATCACATTAGTAGAGGGACTGCAGCGATAGTGCCACTATCAAGGACTCGAAAGATGCAAGCACTATGATTCCTACCACATCCTGATTCAACTTGACTATCTGGCCTGCTCAAAAAAACAGATGGATCTTGGGAGAATGACAGCAGACTATCATAAACTTAACCAGCTGGTGACTCCAACTGTAGCTGCTGTTCTAGATGTGGTTTTACTGCTTGAGCAAAGGAATACATCTCCTAGTACCTAAAATAAGGAACTTTACTGGCGTAGTAGTAAGGCATTCACCTGCTAAGCAGAAGATCAGTAGTTCACACCCACCAGCTGCTCTGCACAAGGAAGATAAGGCAATCTACTTCCATAAAGATTTACAACCTTGGAAGTCCAACGGGGGTTGCAATTAGCTGGGAACTACTTGCTGGCAGTAGGTTTGGTTTGGTTTTAGAGTACCTAATATGCAGCTAGTGATCTAACCAATGATGTTTTTTTTTCCAATTCCAGTTTTGAAGAAACTCACTGCTGCCAAGTCAAGTCGACTTATAGTGACCCCTCCTTAGGTTTCCAAGGCAGTATCTCTACAGAAGTAGATTGCACAACCTTCCTTTTGAGGAGTGGCTGGTGGGTTTGAACCTCCAGCCTTCTAGTTAGCAGTCAAATGCCTGAGGCACTACACCACCAGAGCTCCTTTTGCCTTCAGCTGGTAAAACCACCAATAAATCTTCACTGTCTTACTGAAGGGGTATATTAACTCCCCAACCCTATGTCATACTTTAGTCCACAGGGACCACAATGGCCTTTCCCTTCCTCAAGATGTCACACCAGCCCATTACATTGATGATATTACACTGACTAGATATAGTAAGGAAGAAGTATCTATGACTCTAGACTTACGGGTAAGACATTTACGTTCTAGAGGGTGGGAAATTAACCTGACAAAACCTCAGAGGCCTTCCATCTCAGTAAAATTTCTAGGAGAACAGGACAATTTATTGTATTGGCCCCTCCCATAACTAAAAAGGAAGCACAATGTCTGGTGGGCCTCTTTCGATTTTGGAGACAATTATTATCCTTTATTTGGGTATGCTACTTAGGCCTATAGGAGCTCTGGTAGCACAGTGCCTAAGGCATCTGACTGCTAACCAGAAGGCTGGTGTTCCAGCCACTCCTCAGAAGGAAGGCTGGGCAATCTATTTCCGTGGCGATACTGCCACAGAAACCCAAGGAGGGTTGCTATGAGTCAGGTCTGACTTGCTGGCACATAACAACAAAAATGACAACTTAGGCCTATTTATTAAGTGCCTTGAAAAGCTACTATTTTTGAGTGGGGGCCAGAATAAGAGAAGACCCTACAACAGGTTCAGGATGCTGTGTAAGCCATTCTGCAACTTGGGTCATATGATCTGGCTGGTTGAATGGTTCCTGAATTATCAGGGGCAGACAGAGATGTTATTTGAGTCTTTGACAGTCCCTTATTGGGGAATCACAGAGCCTCAGAATTTTGGAGGAAAGTTCTGGTAGCTTCTGCAGAGAATTACTCTGCTTTTGAGAAACAGCTTTTCACTTGTTCCTGGGCCTTACTAGAGACTGAATCACTTATACATGGGCCAAGTTACTATGCAACTTGAGTTACTCATCATGAACTGTACGTTGTCTGATCCAGAGTTATAAAGTCAGACATGCACAGCAGCACGGCATTATTATGTGGAAATGGTATATATGAAATTGAACTTGAGTAGGACATAGACACAAGTTAGTTACATGAGGAAGGGGGCCAAAAGAATTTGGTCCCTACTTCTGTCACATTACCCTTCTTTCTCCCAGTCTGCAACTATGACTTCATGAAGAGTCCC